AAAAAAAAAAAAAATCATTTTTTTATTGAAGATATTATTCCAAGCTATATGTGATATCATGAATATCTATAGTATATTGATTAGTTTGATAAATACATATTACAAGATTATACGATTATTAAGGAGCTCAAGATAATTGAAAAATTTCTATTACCTTTTTCAAGATATATATATTTTGATCCATAAATCTATTACCTTTTTTTGTTATAAAACTATGTTTACTTTTATGTACATTAATTTTTTTATCCGCTTATAATTCATTTGGACCTACAAATTTAAAAAAAAAAAACAATAACAACAACAACTATAACTTGAGAAAGATTTAAAGTGCACCAACAATTTCAAAACTATATCTTGTCACTTGCAAAAAGAAAATCATAAATATGTTTTAAAATGATTTTTCTTCACAAATTTTTGTTTGAATAGATGTGTTTTTATATTGACACCTTATGTATACATATAAACAATGGTTTGAATAGAAAGGAGATGTAGCTCAACGGTTATATTTCAGTTTATCATGCAAGAAATACGGGGTTCGATTCCCCGCATCTCCATTCATAATTTTTTATCCATTTATTTATTTATTTATTTTAATCTGAAGGTGGTCATTTGAGAAAAAATATAATATTTTATTGAACATGTTTTTCCAAACAATCTATGATATCATTATTATTTATGTAATATATTAATTAGTTTAACGTTTTTATATTGCATGTTGATATGATTAGTAAGAAGCTCTAGATAATTGAAAATTATTACAACCTCTTTAGATATATATGTGTTTTGAATCCGTACATCTAAAATATTTTTTATTATAATTATGTACATGAAATTTTTTATTGACTTATAATTTATTTTGTCAATAAAAATTCATAGAAATAATAAATTGTTAAAGACATAAAGTTTACAGAAGAAATAATAAATTGTTAAAGACATAAAGTTTACAGAAAAATTCCAGGTCATTTCTTGTCACTTGCATCAATGAAATTTTTATATTTGTATGAAAAATTTAAGTTTTTTTTTCACATTTTTCAAAAGCCATCTTTTGTCACTTGCAAAAGGAAAATTTATTATATTTGTATCAAAAATATTTGTTCTTCACATTTTTCTGTTTGGATATGTGTGTTTTTATATATCATATAAATGATGGTTTTCAACAAAAAGGAGATGTAGCTCAATGGTTATATTTTGAATTATTCTCAAAGAATTACAAGGTCCGATTCCCCATATCTCAAAAAATAATTTTTATCCATTATTTATTTTTTTGTTTGTTTTTAATTGAAGGAAGTCATTTGGGAAATAAAAATATCATATTTTATTGAACATATTTTCTCAAGCAACCTATGATATCATGAATGTCTATATATCATATTGATTAGTCCAACAAATACATATTACACGGTGATATGATTAGTAAGGAGATCTGGATAATTGTAAAATATTATCATCTCTTTCATGATATATCTGTTTTGTATCCGTACATCTCAAAATATTCTTTTATTTTAAAACCATGCTTATGTTTATGTACATGTATTTTTTTGTCGGCTTATAATTCATTTGTCAGCACAAATTCAAGGAAAAAGATAATTTGATAGAAATTTAAAGATCGCCAACAATTTCAAAGACATTTATTGTCACTTGCAAAAAGATAATTCTTATATTTCTATTATAAAATATTTGTTTTTCACATTTTTATGTTTTACTGAATAATTTTATATATACATATAAATGATAGTTTGAACAAAAAAGCGATATAGCTCAATATTTATATTTCAGATTATCCTCCAAGAAATACGGGGTTCGATTCCTCGCATCTTCAAAGACAATTTTTTTAACCATTTATTTATTTGTGTTTTTTTTAATTTTAATTTGAAGGGAGTCAATTAAGAAGAACAATATCATATTTTATTGAACATATTCTTCCAAGTAATCCATGATACCATAAATATTTATATGACATACTAATTAGTTTGATATATATATATTATAAGGTGATATGATTAGTAAAAAGCTCACGTTAAATTTAAAAAAAAAAATAATATTATAACCTCTTTCAAGGTAAATGTGTTTCGAATAAGTACATGCAAAATCTTTTTTTTTTTTTTTATTATTATAAAACTATGTTTACTTTTATGTATATAGAATTTTTTATCGGCTAATAATTCATTTGTCAGTACAAATTCAATAAAAATTATAACTTGATAAAGATTTAAAGTTCACCGATAATTTTAAATCCCTCTCTCAGTCTCTTGTCTTCTTTGTTTTTCTTTTTTTCTCTTTTAAGCTTGAGGTTTTTGGTAGTTTTTATGGAGTTCTTACGAGTGTTGCTATGAGAATGTTTTTGTGGGGGCGATTGGAATTTTATCTTTTGGTTCTAACCGACTTTTATTTTTTTGACCTATGTGACATCACGCTTAAAGGGATTGACGTAATACTCCAAGAAGAGATACTCCTCCTTCAAAAATCCACGAGAGATTGGACGCACCTTGGGGATCGTAACACGTCTTACTTCCATCGTCAGCTTAAAGCCCGTCGAAGAAGCAGCCGGATCACGGAATTGGTTGACGAGGCGGGTAATCGTATCACTGACCAAACGGACCTTCGGCAACTCGCGACGGACTATTTTCGGAACATATACACGGGCGGGCACCCGCCAATTGATATGAGCACCCCTACAAATCTATTCAGGCCATGCGACGAGAACTTACTTCAGGAAATGGCAACCGAGCTCACAGACGAAGAAATTTCCTCAGCCCTCCACAGCATGGGATCCTTAAAAGCCCCGGGAGTCGATGGCCTCAATGCATTATTCTTTAAGAAAAACTGGGCTACAGTGGGACACTCGATTCGGAATTTCATCCGAGACATGTGGCACTCCGGTAAGGTGCCCAGTGAAATTAACCAAACCCTGATCGTCCTCATTCCGAAAAACGAAAATGCTACCTCCATCAAACAGTTTAGGCCCATCAGCTTGTTGAACGTTGTCTACAAGCTCTTTACTAAAGTGTTGGTTAACCGTATGAAAGGTTCGCTTACCGAATTGATTCATCCGGCGCAAGCCAGTTTTGTCCCGGGACGCCAGATCATAGACAATATCGTTGTTGCCCATGAGTTGATCCACTCGATGCGCCGCAAACAAGGAATGACGGGCTACATGGTGATCAAGGTTGATCTTGAGAAGGCCTACGACTTCTTGCGATGGGACTTTATCGAGGAGACTCTCCATTTAGCCGGTTATCCTACCATCTTGACGAC